CCATAGACGTGGTCCATGAAGCAAAGGCTTGACTATGACAATTACTCAGTGGCTTTAGCCTCAAGTTAGTGTCCCAGACACAGAGTACCAAAGCTGGGGTGGCAAGGCTCGAGTAAAGTACTTGAACTAGCAGATCACATATGGATAATACTGGGCAAGAGAGACTCTGATAAGACCTAGGGAAGGAGGACTGAGTAAGGATATGGCAGAGTCGAGTCGACATTTCCAGCAAAAGGGTGAAGGTGGGTGAGAAAGCCAATCTGGAGTGGGGAGAGTTCTCATTAAAGCCCCTCAAAAGGGCACAATATGCCACATTTAAATAGGCAAGTAAAAATAGTGGTAGTGAAATCATGATACAAGGATATAGGATTGGTGATTATCATAGAGAGGAAGGAGAAATATCATGATTGTTTTGTAGACAATTGGTCAAAGGATCGGCTTCATTTTTTCTTTTGACGTGTTGTAGTGTGGAGCAAAGAGTGGCAAGACTCACTGGCGATGCCGGCAAAACGTCTGGGAATGTACCACGTCTACGGTCTGATTCTGGAAATTATCATGCATACAAAGGACTCCGGACTAGGTGCGTTCTTTGAAACTTTTACAAGAATGAGTTCCAGCTCTGATAATGTCCATCATATGATGGACGAAAACTCAGCCCGTTTTCGCCCGAAGCGAGGGAGCATGTCTCATGAACTGCGCCAACCTGAACGTCGTAGTAATGCCAAATGAGAGCAATACAACGGAATTCAGCAGTCGTCTTTTGGTGAGATTAACCTACGAATATCTTATTCATGCACTTTCATACCAAATAAAGGTCTCCCCACCAAATATTTTAATTTAGCAAAAAACGATTAGGAAAGAATTATATCAAACAGTCCGCTCTTCCCCAATAAACGATCAATTTGTATTGCAGATGATACAGTAATTGTAGCTTGCTTAGCCCTCACCTGCCCATTATCTTTTACTTACACGATGATTTCAATTTTAAATAGAAACGATCTATACTAAAAATATGTGGCAAAAAAGGGTAGAGACTAGATTAAATCCAGATTAAAAATTACGTATTATCTGAAGTAATAAGTTTGAGATAAATTACCTGGAGGCTGGAAAATAGCGCTATAATTGCTAAAATAACTATGCGAACATCCACCTTGGCAGCATATCGGCGACGATAGTAGCGATAGTAATGATAATACATTTGCTCTGGATTATTTAACATGTAGTCATACTCTGCCTTCTGATCAGGATCACGGAGTATCTGAAAATATAGGATATAGGATATAAATAATTCTATCCTGGAAAAACTCTAAGCCTTAATATAAATATTAAATGATGAACACGAAAAAGTAAATCAAGAGTAGGGCTTGCCCAAATATCAACAACATTATAGTCTCTATTATATCATTTTCTGGACCTTATCATATCTATACTGAGACGGGCGAACAGTTGTTCATAAAGGTGCCAACATCGAAGTCGAAATTATGCGTAGGAATAAGCAGTGAAATACGACTCGAAGAAGAAACGAGTGAAATATGAAGGGTTTTCTGTGACCACATTGAATCATAACTTCAATCCTAACATCAAATGATTTTTGTCTCACTTTAACCATTGATAGAAAATCAGGCATTGAAACGCCATACAAAGTCTTGGCTTACGTAGCAATTGGTGAAATATAAGTACCTCCAGGTAAATTTGAGCATATTCTGGAAAGTGTGTGTCAATAAACTGTGTTTAAAAGGAGGGGGAATCCTACCGTCCTGATCAGTATCTATTTGTTGAGATGACTGATCATGATTCGAGAATGGTTGAGAACAAAGGTGTTAAATCTGAACAGGCAATGGTCTGAGTCTAAATTTACTGATATTTATATAAAGTAGGTTCCTAAACTATAAATAAAGCTTGAAAAAAGGTTTCAGTCACTCTGGGTCGTATAATGGAATGGAGGATTATAATTGAATTTTTCCATACCGATATAAGTAGGCCTCACGGATACCTTATGCAATATATGGTGACTGATTTAAAAATTTACTTCTGCCTTAAAAAAATATAGTCATATTATTTTGCTATCAAAAAAATGACTTCTTTGCAAAAAATATTTAAGTTGTAATACATACAAAAGCAGAAATAAACAAAAGAATTTAAAAAGAGATATATAAGGCTGTAATAAATTAAGCATTAACTTAATTATAACAGC